CTGCTGGTACAGTAGTTAAAAGCTCAGCTGTTAACCAAAAGGTCGGCAGCTTGAATCCACCAGCCACTCCTTGGAAACCCTATGGGACAGTTCTACTCTGTCCTATATATAGGGTCGCCATGAGTCAGAATCGACTCAACAGCACCGAATTATTTTCATCATACACTGAAGATCTTGATTCAAAATCTTATTACCATCATTACTTATGTGTGTTTTCCTTCAATATATATGTTTATATGTACCAATATTATTAACAATATAATTACTGAAAATAGGTTAAGGTTTAGTTTGTCATTGTTTTTGTCCATGGGATGTAGCCACTATGTACAAAACCAAATACCCATTGCCATCAAGTCGATTTCGACTCATAGCGACCCTATAGGACAGAGTAGAACTGCCCATGGAGTTTCCAAGGCTGTAAATCCTTATGAAAGCAGACTGCCACAACTTTCTCTTGCACAGTGGCTGATGGGTACGAACCACCGACATTTCACTTAGCGGCTGAGCTGCAACACCCCAGGGCTCCTCTGCTATGTATAGCCAGTAAAATTACTGTGTTTTAAAACCACATAAAATAATTCCTCTGTCTTAAGCCATCAATTCAATGTGGAATTAAGTTCATTTTGCCTCTGAATTTTTAGAGATTTTTTAAAATTCAATTTTATTTAATAAGTGAAACTTCTACATGGCTCTTAAGTCAACTCTATAAAACAAAATATATTCAGTGAAGATTATTTTTTCTCCTGTCCCCTTTACTGCTCCCCCACCCTCCCCCCGTTTCTTTAAGAAGGAAGAAGGAGATATACATGCCTGTATTAAAACACATGAGGGGTCAATGGTGGTTCAGTGGTAGAATTCTCACCTTCCATGAGGGAGACCTGGGTTCAATTCCTGGCCAATGCACCTCAAGTGCAGCCACCACCCATCTGTCAGTGGGAGCTCTCATGTTGCTATGATGTTAAAGAGGTTTCAGTAGAGCTTCCGTACCAAGACAGACTAGGAAGAAAGGCCTAGTGAGCTACTTCTAAAAAATCAGCTAGTGGAAACCTATGGATCATAATAGTCTGATCTCGTTGTGCATGGGGTTGCCATGGAGTCAGCCTGACTCCATGGCAACTAACAACAACAATTAAAACACACACATATATTTCCACTCTTCTTAGATAAATAAGCTTACTGTGTATACTATGCCCCCGCTATTTTTTTTACTTGCACTATATTCTGGAGGATTTTTAAAGGATTTTTATTGGCTAATATTTGGAAGTAGCTCACCAGGCCTTTCTTCCTAGTCTGTCTTAGTCTGAAAGCTCCACTGAAATCCGTTTACCATGGGTGAAACTGCTGGTATTTGAAATACCGGTGGGATTAGAGCAAAAATATCATGAAGTGTCAAAAAAAAAATAAAGAAATCAGTCTTGGAAAAAATACAACCAGAATGTTCCTTGGAAGCCAGGATGGCGAGACTTTGATTGGCTTACTTTTGATGTCTCATCAGGAAAGACCAATCGCTAGAAAAGAACATCATGTTTGGAAAAGTAGAGAGCCAACAAACATGACAGAAATCCTCAATGAGATGGATTGACAGAATAGTCACAAAAAAGGACTCATACCAACCATCATGAAGATAGTGTAGGACTGAGCAATATTGTGTTCTGTTATACATGAGGTTGTCATGAGTCAGAGCCAACTCCATGTCAGCTAACAACAACATAATCTGGAGATCATTCCATAGTCGTATAAAGAGTTAGATTTCAATTTTTTACAGCTGCATACATCTCCACTGTTTGCATTTACCATATTGTTTTCAATCAGTCACCGCCTGATGAACATTGAAGTTTACAGGTTTTTTGGTAATATAAAAGTGCTACAGTGAATGTGTGTCAGTAAATCATTTCATATCCGAGTATATCTCTAGTATAGATATCTAGAAACGTAATTTCTGGATCAAAGAACATATACATATATAATTTTGCTAGATATGGTCAAATTTCCCTCCACAGATATTGTGCCATTCTACAAGCACATCTCTAATTGCATAGGAAAGACTATACAGACTTATAAGATAGTACAGCTAAAGACCCTCAACAACATGGATTGGCACAGTGGCTGCAACGATGGGCTCAAGCATAGCAACAATTGTGAGGATGGTGCAGGACTGAGCAGTGTTTCATTCTGTTGTACATAGGGTCACTATGAGTTGGAACTGACTCGACAGCACGTAACAACAACAACAAAGACAAAATATGATCTAATGTCAACATAAGGAATTATCCGAAAAAATGAATTGCATTTTTATTTAAGCTACTCTTCCCATTGATAGCTATTTATTTACATAATAACTTTGTCTTGATAGGAACTTCTGTCACAAATTAGTATTTGGTAAATCTAATCTTATAAGGAGACTTGGTTGCTCAATGGTTAAGTGCTCGGCTGCTAACTGAAATGTCGTCGGTTCAAACCCACCTGCTGCTCCTTGGGAGAAAGATGCAGCAGTCTTGCTTCTGTAAAGATTACAGCCTCGGAAACCATATGGGGCAGTTCTACTCTGTCCTACAGGGTTGCTATGAGTCGGAATCAACTGCATAGCGGTGGGTTTGGGTTTTGGGTTTTAATCTATTATGGTTACACAATGCAAGATTATTGATATTCAGACACTTTCTCATTTATTAAGGACTATTATCTAGGAAGCATGCTCTACTTCCACATGATTCGCCTTTTCATTAGAAAGCTTACAGGAGTAGAAATTATAAATAGTTAAGTGTTCAAACCTCATAGTACACGTCAGCCCTTTTTCATCATAAGCCATAACCTATAGATTATAAAAGCATCTCAGATAGTCACTGACTTTTAGACTACAGAATAATGTATTTTAAAAAAATGTCCTTTTAAATACTTAGTTTTGCTTCTAAAGCGTGTCTCAGCATGAATTGATATTATGCTCCTCTGACGTAGAGCTGTTGAGTGATTAGTAATGAGATGACTGACAAAACCCAAAGTAATAGTCTTGTATCCTTCTTAAACCACTGCTCCTAAATCTGCTTTTCGTTATTGATGTAACGGGGAATGAATTAATTTTAAAAGGTAGTGACTATTGATTACTTAATGGAAGAAAACAGTGTAGAGAAATGCTGAAGTGAGCCTATTCTTGCCCTCCTGGGCTACGTGGCCCATTATCTGGCGATGGAAATCGGGCCTTAACCCTTATTAATATTTAATAGGTAGGAGACAGGGTGGGTGTAGGATAGAAAATTGCCCCAGATCTAGGCCATAGGAATGTTTCAAGTGTATAAAAGAATAACATATTTACCTTTGTTCCGATTGTTTATAAGCAGAATAATACACTCAATTCCCTTCTGTGATCTCTAAGCCATAGTGGCCTGGGGAAATGCCTCCTAGGCAAGTTGAAGTGATTAATGCTCTGAAAAGTCACTCTAGTTAAGTGAGCACTGCATGAGGAGACTGTAACTTCAGTGTGGTTCCGAATTTCAGCCCTTCTCTTCTCCTCTCCAAACTGAAAGTCTTGTTTAGCAGGGGTGGCAAGTCAGCAGAAGGCGTTAACTGTGTCTAACACAGCCATCATCCTTGGGGCGGTATCCTGTATCACACTGTCTATCAAGCTAACCCTTTGTCGCATGTCAGGATCTTTTTATTTCAGCTCATTTAAAATGGAAACAAGGAGTTTTAAAGACAGCTGGTGGGAAGATGTGAATATGAGTGTTTGTAAGGACTGGGAGCCTTTGAAGCCGACTTGAACTAAAATTGGCTGTGATTTCTGAAACAAAAATACAAGGTTTTATAGATTACTGACTCCCATTATTAATTTTTCATATCACCAGGTTATCTTTCAGTACCACCAGCTTATTTTTTTAAATACGATAAGCTTGGAATGAGATAAATTTCTTAAGATAGAATGGATTCTTGGGATTTATAAGTACACAAAGAATGTAATATCAGCTATCTACCATCCCAAACAATGTATACAATTAAACAGATACTGAGGAAACACCAATTTTTTGACTCACTGACGCTAAAGATTTTTTAAAATGTGTTTAGGATAATCATTTACTTTGTTGCATATCAGGATGTGTTTACAATTACCTGCCTAAAGTGAGTTGAAAAAGGACAAAAATTTAGCTTTGTGAGCAAAAAGTATCCAAAGGAATAGTCATCTTTTAACATATCAAGCTTTTTCTCAAATTCAGTGCATGATACTGATTCAGAGGTCTCATTGTAATTCCATGTTAAAAGTGGAAAGATTCCATTTTACTCCCAACCTCAGACCCTGCATGCCTAAATGCTATTTTCAATTTTTTAGTAGCTCTATATGCATGCCATCTCTTTCTGACATGCAGTGGACTTTCAAGTTATCAAGAGTTAGCAATGGAAATTCATGTGTTCATTTTTATTTTTCAGTATACTTGGTCTTTATGAGGCATAGTGTCAAAACTACTTGAATGCTTGGTTTTTGTTATTGTTATTGGTTTGCTGGTTGGTTACTTGGTTGATTAGCTGGTTAATACTACATGCCATTCCCTTATGGAAATAAGTCAGTGGTTAGTTCATTCCAAGGGGCTCAGTTTGATGTCACAAAAAATATATGTATAAATTTTTGTATGAGAAATTAACTTGAGCTGTAAACTTTCACCTAAAGCACAATTAAAAAAAAAAAAAAAGAGGCTCAGTTTAGAATCTATAGGTTTTTCAGTTGCCATTCCCAACGGTAAATATAACACTATAAGTTAAAAATAATTTAACTGTTATTTTCCAAGGTGCTTAACACTTCACAATAAACATACGAAGATATTTTCTTGACTGCAAAGATTAAATGTTAATAATTGTTACACTTTAAATACCTTTGGATGTTCCAGAGAGAAAAGATTTTTTAAGGTCATATTTGCAAGAAACTGGTGCCTATTAAATTATAATCAATTATATTATCAGTTTTAACAATGAAGTCATAAATTCTAAGTTTATTTTCCTTTACCTTTCCTTCTTTATAGCGCAGCAGCAGCTTTGGGAATTTTGATCGTTTTCGGAATAATTTCACATCAAAACCAGATGATTCTACTGAGGTTAGTATTTGATTCCATTTTTATGAATGTTATTCGGAGCCCTGGTGGCACAGTGGTTATGCACTTGGCTGCTAACCAAAAGGCCGGCAGTTCAAATCCACCAGCTGCTCCTTAGAAACCCTATGGGGCAGTTCTACTCTGTTCTATCAGGTCACTATGAGTCAGAATCGACTCAATGCCAACGGGTTTGGTTTGGTTTTGGTTTCAAACACACTATGCAAAAAAATATGAAGCTAACATCAGTTTTGCAAACTACAGTAAGAATAACCCACGTTTTCAAATCATGAGTCTTACATATATTTTTGTGGTAAATGAACAATTATTTAGTACTAGTACCATGCTGGACAAGAAGCCCTGGTGGTGCAATGGTTACGTGCTCAACTGCTAACTGAAAGGTTGACTGTTCGAACCACCTAGCAGCTCCGTGGGAGAAAGATTTGGTGATCTGCTTCCTTAAAGCTTATAACCAAGAAAACCCTATGGGACAGTGCTACTCTGTCACCATGGGTTGGTATGAGTCCAAATCGACTGGACAACACCTAACAATAACAACACCACGCTGGGCATTAACTGTAAAAAGCTACCTAAGAAACCTAAAAGACATTTGGGAAGGGAAAATATGAACTTAAGAAGACAATTCAAAGTAACACAGACAATCCCAACTTTTCTAACAATTTCCACCAGAAAACAATAAACATGAAAAATTTTATGTAAGCTACAATCACTTTAAATTAGCAAATGATTAAGTGACTAAATGTATTCTTGTTCAGGAGAGCATATGACTGCTCAGTTACATTCCTACATGTGCAATGAAATGTCTCATTGGTAACCATTACATACACATTTGCAAACCATGAACGCTTTAAATGTAGTGGAGGAAAATCTTCCCATAAAATTAGGTTTACATAAGAATAACAATAATAATGGTAATAATACCTACATTTTATTGAGCACTTATTATGAGGCAGGCACAATGCTGAACACTTTACCTACCTATAACGTTGGTATTATTAATATTTCCATTTTAGAATTGAAGAAATATGCTTCATTTAGTAAAAGCACCCCAAAATTACACAGTTAATTAATGACAAAAGCAGAACCCAATCTTTGTCTGATTTTAAAGTTTGCCATTCTGTTATGCTATCTCATAAATGGGAGACACATGTGGTAAGTGATTAATGAAATAGTAGAGAGGAGGAAGGAGTTTTGAGAAAACTGAAAATATATATTTATCATTGAAACTGATGCAGGAGCTCCACAGGCGATACATTCATTTTAGATCAGGATGTTTTTAATCTTATACATTTCTTAATTACTCATTCTTGTTATTGTATCTGCATTTTTATAAAGAATTTTTCCTCTTGTTGTTATCTAATTTCTCCAAGTACTTTTGAGATTTCTGCGGGTCTATAACATTTGAAAATATTTTTATTTTAGCAATGGATATTCTAGGCAAAAGAAATGGAACACAATGTGATCTGATATTACTTTATAAATGTCATCATTAGTACATATATATACGCATGTGTGTATCCCTTTTCTCCAACTATCTATTTACATACCAAAAAACCAAACCCATTGCCATCAAGCCAACTCTGACTCATTGTGATGTGATAAGACAGAGAAAAACTGCCCTATAGAGTTTCTAAGGCTGTAAATCTTTATGGAAGCAGACTGCCACATCTTTTTCTCAAGGAGTGGCTGGTGGGCTCCAATCGCCAACCTTTTGGTTAGCAGCCGAGGGCTTAACCACTGCACCACCAAGGCTCCTATATATTTATATACACATGCTTATATATAAACTTGTAAATAAAAAAACAAAAACCAAACCCATTGCCGTCGAGTTGATTCCAACTCATAGCAACCCTAAAAGACAGAGTAGAACTGCCACATAGGGTTTCCAAGGAGTGCCTGGTGGACAGACTGCTGACCTTTTGGTTAGCAGCCGAACTCTTAACCAACACGCCCCCATGGTTTCCAAATTTGTATATAGATATATATATAACAGTGGAATATATCTACATATGGTTATAGACAGTTTAAGGCTTATATGGGATGGAAGCTGAAAATAAAATTAGATAAGTCTCTCACTATACATATGTTGTGTCATAATACACTATATTGTATACAATTATCTAAAT